TGAGACCTGCAACTCTGCATTTCTAACAAGCTCCAGGTGATGTGAATACCACTGGCCCATTACCCACATTGTGAATAGCGATGATGTGGGTAATATGTAAAATGAGAAGAGATTAAAAATAGTCTATGGCAGGAAAAAGTTCTGTTTTGATTTTGTTTTCCTTTTGTTTATAGCAGAGAATTGCTAGCCTGTGAGCTAGGCAATGAAGTAGTTTTGGTCCATCTTGTCTGGTCCTTTGACTCCAAAGTATTTTTGTCTCCTCATCCCCACCTGCCACACAAGTGTTCATGCTGCCTGAATTTTTTTTTCACCTGATGGTGTATACGATCTTATGTACCACTATAAAGAGAGTCTTTCGAGCTAATAAACATTCTTCCTTTTTATCCTCATTATGTAATGACTTTATTTGTTTTTATTAACATAATAATCATGCATATTTGTACAAAATGATTTTTCAGTACAAAAATACAATGTGTTGTGATTAAATCATGCTAATTAGCATAGCCATCCTCTCCCCCATTTGTCATTTCTTGATATGGGGACATTCAAATTCTTTTTTCAGCTACTGTAATAGAAAGATAGATGATAGATAGTTGTTTTTAACCACATTCTCTCTACTGTATTTTATAACACCAGATATTTTCCCTTTTATCTCTAATGTTGTTTCCTTTAATCAACATCCTTCTCTTCCTCCCTCATTCTCAATTCTTCCCAGACTCTAGTCATCATTCTTCATTTCTTTACTTCCATGAGGTCATTTTTCTCAATTTCTACTTGTGAGGGAGAACATAATGGTATTTTTCTTTCTGTTACTGGCTTAGTACACTTAACATAATGTCCTCTAGGCTCTCCAATTTAACCTCAAATGATAGGAGTTCATCCTTTTTTTATTTAGAGAGATTTTTTGCTATGGAGAGACATGAGAGAGACAGAAAACAAGAAAATCACCCTTGAGAAGGGATGGTCACGCCACAATGCCTTCTCCTCTAGTCTCCTCTCAGGATTTTGGGCACACTCACCCATGAGCCCAGGGTGAGTATTAAGCTGCTGGTTCTAAGACTCGAATCATGATTGACTATGTGGGAGTCCAGCAATGTAACCATATGCCATCTGCTAGTCCTGGGAGTTCATCCGCTTTAATGACTGAATAGTATCCCATTATGTGTGTGCACATATATGTGCATATTCCTATATGTACATATATACTTACCACATATTATCTACTGGGCACACATGCACATGTACTAAGGGTGATTTTCAAGCCATCAGGTCTAGGGCTCAAATAGCAAAACTGGCCACGTAGGATCCAGTGCCTTAACCTCCACACCACCTCTGGTCAAATTTGCCCACTTAAAATAATCAGGTTATTTATATTTTGTTGCTGAATTGTTTCAGAACCCTGTATATTATGGTTATTGGTTCCCTGTAATAGATATAGTATGTAAATATTTTATCCCATCCTATGGGTTGTCTCTTCACTCTGTTAATTTTTTCTTGTGTTGTGCAGAAGATTTTTATTTGGAGTCATGTTACGAAGAGCTATGAGTTCACCTTCAGTCTTCTGCACAAGAATGTCTAGTTTTCCCAAAACCACTTATTGAAGAGACCATCTTCTTCACACTGAGTGTTCTTGGCACCTTTCTCAACATTTAGTTGGCTGTATACAAGTAGATTTATTTCTGGGTTCTCTGTTCTGTTCCATTGGTCTATGTCCTGTGTTTTTGCCAGTATGATGCTGTTTTTCTTACTATAACTTTGTAATATATTTTGAACTCTACTAGTGTGATGCTACCATCTTCATTTTTTGGCTCAGGATTGCTCTAGCTATTTAGGGTCTTTTGTGATTTCATATAAATTTTATAATTGCTTTTTCTATTTCTTTGTAAAATACCATTTGTGTTTCCATAGGCTTTGTGTTAAATTTGTAGATCCCTTTTAAAATTCTCCCAATCCAGGAGCAGAATTGTCTTTCTATTTCTGTGTGTGTGTGTGTGTGTATGTGTGTGTTCTCAACTCTTTTCATCAGTAGTTTGACATTTCTGTTGTAGAGATTTTTTTACCTCTATAGTTAAATTTATTCTTAGATATTTTATTTTCTTTGTAGCTATTGTAAATGGCACTGATTTTTAAAATTCTTTTGAGCTATTTCATTATTAGTATAAAAAAGACCACTGGGACCAGCAGTTAGCATAATGGCTATGTCGCTGGACTCCCACGTAGTCGACTGCGGTTTGAGTCCTGGACCCGGCGGCTTAAACTCACACCGGGCGCGTGTGCATGCATGCCCAAGATCCCGAGAGGAGAATGGAGGAGGAGGGATTGCAGCGTGGCCATCCCCCCTGGGGGGTGATTTCTCACTTTCTGTCTGTCTCAGACTGTCTGGCGAGCACACGCGCCCTATAGCAAAAACCTCTCAAAAAAAAAAAGGCCACTGAATTTTACATGTTGATTTTGTATCCTACAACTTTACCGAATTTGCTTTTTAGTTCTGAGGGGTTTTTTTTGTGGAATCTTTGGGGTTTTCTATATATAAGATCATATCATCTGCAGACAGGTACAATTGGACCTCCATCTTTCCCACTTAGATTCTCTTTCTTTCTCTTGCTTAATTGGTCTGTCTAGAACTACCAGCACTATGTTGAATAAGAGTGGTAAAAGTGAGCATGTCTCTTTTTGGTTCTGAGAGAAAATGCTTTCAGCTTCCATCCATTTAGTATTATGTTAGCTGAGGATTTATCATACATGGCCTTTTTTGTGTTGAGGTGTATTATTTATTCCCCTACTTTGCTGAGCAATATTTATCTTAAAGAGATGTTTGGATTTTGTCAAATGTTTTTCCACATCTGTTGAAATGATCATTTTTTTTCCTTTTGTTAATATGGATATGCATATTTGAACCATTCTTTCTTTTTCTTTTTAGAGAGATATTTTTGCTATAGGGCACATGTACTTACTGGAGAGACAGAGAGACAGAAAGCAAGAAATCACCCTCCAGGAAGGATGGCCACACTTCAATTCCTTTTCCTCCATTCTCCTCTTGGGATCTTTGGCATGCACACACATGCACCTGGCGTGAGTCTCAAGCCTCTGGATCCAGGACTCCAGCCATGGTTAGCCATGTGGAAGTCCAGTGATGTAACCATTACACCATCTGCTGGTCCCTAAACCATCCTCTCATCCTTGGGATAAAACCCACTTGGTTGTGATGTATAATTTTTTTTTAATGTGCTGTTGGAATTACCTTGTAGTATTTTGTTGAGACATCCTTTTTCTTTAAATTATTTTTATTTTTAATTATGGTAGTATACATATAACTTAGAATTTATCCTTTTAACTATTTTTAAATATACAATTCAGTAGTGTTAAATATATTTACATTGTTATAAAACTGAAATTCTGTTGCCATAAAACAACATACCATTTCTCTCTCTCCCCATCCTCTGGAAGTCACCATTCTGAACATTTTCAATTACCTCAAAGAAGTTCAATCTCAATAAAATGTTCTACCTGCCTTATATATACTCGTGGGATGAAATCAACAAGTGATTTGGAGTCAGAGGTGATGTCAAACCAAACTCCTCCATATCCTAGCTTTGTGTTCCACTTATTCTGCACTTTCAAAATGGTATAATTTCTTCCTTATTTCCTTCAGAAGGGTGTTGGAAAGATCAGATAATGTATCAGATGAGTCTGAAATCTTTGCTCTATATAAATGTAAGCTTCATTGTGATTAGCGCCCAAAACATATGCTCTGAAGGAATAAGAGTTTTAATAAATACAGCAGACACAGGCTGAGTGAGATGAGTGGACTTTAACGGGATCGTGGAGCAGAATAATAGGATATGTCTGATGGCTTGGGGGCTAATCAATGATCCCTCTCAATTCTGTACCTTAGTTGGAAACCGACTTGAGAGAGAGCCAGACAAATGGATATACTGATGTCATCTTTGTTGTTTCTGGATGGGTTTTGTTAGGTTTTTACCATTAGGGCACATGTATTCATCAGAGAGAGACAGAGAGAAGGAAAGTGAGTAATCACACAACCACCCTACTACCCCAGGATGGATGGCCATACAGCAATCCCTTCTCCTCCATTCTCCCACTTAACTTGAAACTCCACCAGGTCCAGGACTCAAACCATGGTCAGACACACAGGAATTCAGCACCTTAACCACACACCACCTGTTTGCCCCCACCTTTGTTAATGAGAAAGTATTTGGGAGAATATTGCTTAGTCTGTAAGCAGAGGACTCACTAAGATTTCATCACTGAGTTAAATGTGCTTAGTATCTTGGTCACTGTCAAAGGTAGACAATTCAGAGCTCTCCCTGTAAAGATAATCTCTCCTTTTACTTCATTTCAGAGAACAGACCAGGACAGCAATGCAGATCCCACAGTGAAGACTCAAAATAGACTGAGTTTATTTTATATTTTTGTCTTTCATACCCTTAGGGTGAAGCGATAAGGAATAGTGAGAAAGGCCTAGAACAATAGGCCATTTGGACCAGTCTGTGGCATGGTGGTTAAGGCAGCTAGATCCCATATGGCTGATTATCTGGTTCTAGTCTTGGCCCCAGTAGCTTGAGAAACATGTCAGTCATGTGTATATACATGTGCATGTCCCCAAAAAAATCCTGAAAGAAGAGAGAAATGGATGAGAAGGGATTCCATCATGACAACTTCCTATGAAGGGAGGTACTCTCATGCTTTTTCTTTCTCTGACCATCTCCAGCTAGCACATGCATCCTTAGGCAAAAATTAAAAAATAAATAAATAAATAAATAAGCCAGTGGAGTTCCTCCCTATGAAAACAAGTCAAAGTTTGTTTTCTATCAGTACCATCACTATCACCCAGTATAGAACCACCACCATTACCACCCAATACACTCCTAATATCCACCATGATCACTGTCACCTCTAGCACTGCCATCACCTGCCGCTACCACCATCATACACTACCATAGCTACCACCACCATTCACTACCACATCACCTGCTACATACACTGTAAGCATCACCACCACCACCCACTACTACCATTCACCACCACTACTACCGTTACACACACACACACACCAGCCTTCTCCCAGAGGAGCCAGCAAACAGAAAGAGCTATCAAAAAACTATCCCTATTGTTAACCCTTGCCCAAAAGGAGACAGGAAGTTATTTTCTTTCTTATTCTTTCATCTACATATTGTCCTAATTCTAAGACCTAAAACTCAATACAGAGTACTCAGATCTATAGCTTATATACAGTGTGCCTTGTGTATTTATCTGTAATAAATAAAACAGTTAAAAATTAGTTTTAAAACCATTTCTATTGAAGCAACCAACTTGTAAACTTGTGAAAAACAGCAGCCTACTGATAAATCATGGACTGCAAACTTGATCAATTACACCAGTTATTCTAGATTATCATAATGGGAAAAGAAAATAGCATTCTTGCTCTTCAAAGGTGTATGTCTTCTTTGACATACTATTGATTTTTGTTAAGATAAAAGACAAAAAGAAAGAAATAGGTGGATAGACAGTAGGATGGGTGGTTAGGGAATCATGGAAGTAACTATATATAGTTTTCTACCCTATGATGCAGGGCTAAATGTACTATTAATACGATTGACTTCCTGAAGTTAGTTATTCAGTCTTTATCTCATTTAATGTTTACTTTGTTGATTTTCATTTTGTTATGGAAAATTTCTACAATCAGAACAAAATGGGACAACAGAGTCAAGTATGGGTCACTGGTTAGGTCACTGACTGCACATGAGTTCCTATGTGTTTTGAATTCGGTAACATACTAGGTTTATAAATTGCTGTGAACCAAATACACATTTGGACATAATTTACTCAAGTTCCAACTTAATTTCTGCATAATTTTATCTACTAGTACCCTCTCCATATTTGTTCACTTTTCAGCTTCCCTATCCATCAAAAAGTGATTTAGTTTTCTCAAAGAGCAGTTAGTAACAGTGGCTTCCTATAGGTGTCCCCATACTAGCAAGAAAGCACAGTCTCCCTTAGAGTAAAACCTTAACAAACAATGTTAGAGTTTAAATCCAGTCTGGCACTGGAACCGGAAAGCATTGATAATTGCTCCTGCAAAAAAATAAGCCACTTTCATGTTGTGTAATTGAGCTATGTTCCCATCATTTATAGGTGCTTTTAAACAAAAATGGGAAGGCCTGGCCAATTTGCATTTAAAAAGAGCAATTAAAATCATTCCCAACCCATCCCAGATTTAAGTGGATCACTAGAGGATGTTGTTTTGGTTGACAAAAAGAAAAAAAAATAGACTGGGCATATCTCTCTAAGGAAGAAAAATAAGTTGAAAAGCAAATCCAGTTGGCTTATATTGCCGTTTTTATAAATCTTATTCAACTTCTACTCACAAACTATTGCAAACCATTCATACTGCTCACAAACAAAAGGTCTAATAGTCTGTCAGGCCAGAACTAAATAAGAAAATGTTGACATTGTGGTTGTAACACTTCCTTGTATAATGCTGAAATATCTCTGTGGAAATAATATAAACCTCCTTGAAAATCCCTATTAAAATCTGGATCAGTAAGATGTTTTCCATTTATTATTAAAATGACTTTTAGTTAGACACCAGAAACAAACCAAAATTCTGTTCTTTACAATAACAAAACATTCTCCATATTTATTGAAACTCTTTTTGAAGTCTATTTATGCTTTTATTGTAATTCCTATTTATGAAGTCATTTCTATGACCTACTAAAAAGAGTCTTTTTGACAGATTTCTGGAATGTACAATATTGAAGCCGTTCAAGCCATGGCTTTTGATGGTTGTTACCATGACAGTGAGACTGACATGGACCGGACTTCCTTTTCCCTTCAGAAGAAGACTTCATGAAAGGAAGATCCACACGTAGCCCCAGCTCTGATTCAACTCGAATACAGAGAAGAAAATCCCTAGGAGGACATGTTGGTAGAGTCATTCTAGAAAACAACCATATTATTGACACCTATTCTAGGATTTTATTTCCCATTGTGTATATTATATTTAATTTGTTCTACTGGGGTATATATGTATGAATAGGAATATGCATAAAACTAAGAATCAGATTATGTTTTTTTTTAAGAATACAACTCTTGAACTGAAAGAGAGCCAGTCACAACTGCTGGCCTAAAGATCTGAAAGCTGACTGATTTTCTGATCTAGGAAAGAGTCAAAGGTCCTAGGAGAATTTAACTCCATAAATAAGAGTCACAGGTGTGTGTATAAAGGAAAACTTTTTTCCATAGGGCAGGGCTTTGGAACTACTTCGTCTGAACCTTTTCTCTTTCTTAATAAAAAATGTTTTTTTTAATTAAACTAGGTAGTAAAGCTGGGCTCTGACAATTATTCAAGATAATTTGTTTCTTTTTATTTTAACTTTTTCTTTATTGCTAGAGGTAAGTGCACTTACCAGAAAGAAAGCACCCTCCAATGAGGCATGCTTCGTTCCTTTTCCTCCATTTCTTCATCCCATCAGGATCTGGGGTGTGTGCACACACACACAACATGTTTTTCGAGCCCTCAGGGCAGGGAATTGAACCACTGTCAACTGTAGGAATCCACCCCCTTTAACCACTGCACTATGAAGTCAACCCGACTATTCTCTCTCTTAGTGCCAACTCTCACATGCCAGACTAAAAGAGCTAAATCCTGCTAGCAAAGAAAATCCAGGAGAGGTGGTGCTGCAGCTGGGCTACAAGAGGAAGCAAAGTCATTGCATGTTAAGCCTAGCACAATAGAGTCCTTTTAAGTAACAGATCTTGCTTTATGTTTGAACTTCTGAAAACCAATCATGGCTTTCATGAGATTCTACAGAGACCAAGCCTTGAACCTGCAACCCCAGAGGCAAATGTGTTTAAGGGAGATAAAAACTGCCCTGATGATCAGGTCCAGATAACCCAGCTGCAGCTGAAAACAATAACCCTGACATTAAAAGTCTCCTCTGCAGACCAGTCAAGAAAATGATGAACTGTCATACTGGGCGAAAACAACACCTAATTTCTCCCTTCCCTTACTTCTCCTTTAAAATCCTTGTTGTCAGACTGGGGCAGGGGATAATTTTGGAACATTATTTCTCCATCCTCACAGGTTGTTGGATTTCTGAATAAAGCTACCTTTCCTGCCCACCAATAGCTGTCTTTGAGTAATGAGTTTCTGGAAGCAAGCAGCTACTTCTGTCACACTCACCCTGTTACAGTTCCATACGCACACAGCTCAGAGTACTATGAAGAGCCTTTTCCTATCTCCAAGCAAGTCTTTTATTTACATATTAAGTTTCTTATATTATTGAGTCCAGGGAGTCTTCCCATTCTACCATTAAATGAATATTTTTGTCATTGGTGATAGCATTTTACATTTTGTTGATAAGCTATAGCATTCATAGCTTTTTAAAGATATTTAGTTAATTATGTACTTTACTAAACAAACACTTGTTTATTTTACAGTTTACTGCATTTCTTTCTTAGAGCAAGCGAGAGAGAATGGCCTTCAACAGGGTCTGGCCACGCCTCAATCCTTCCCTTAGTCCCCCAGCCAGCCAGGATCACAGGTGAAAATAGGCACATCCAACATCCAACATGTTCTGCTCAATGTGGGAACCAAACCAGGGCCTCACTGATGGCCCCAGTAATGCACGGTGGCACCTCACTGCCAGCACCACCACAGCTGGGGCTTGACAATGTTTGTTGGCCACCTCCATGTGCCAGGCACTTTATTAAGTATTATGTATTGAAACACTGGTATGAAATAACTACTATTCCTGCCCACCGTAAGTGCACAGCCTAGCAGAAACAGAGAACTGGAAGCTGTAATAAAGATGACGAGTGTTCAAATAAAGGTAGGTACGCTGTGCTGTGTGAGTTCTGAAAATGAGATATCAAAGGAAGGAAAAGATCATCCACAAAGGGATGTAGATTCAATCCATGAATAACTGGACATACTTCCAGATATCATATTGAGTAAACATTAAATGAAATTTATATATTCCTTAGTAATCTTTAGTAACTTTGGTTAAACCAAGTAAACCAGGTCAAGTGGGCATTAAATAAATGTTTGTTAAGAAAACTCTCAAATGATCAGTATTCGTTGGCAGGTAGTGTGCATGCTTTTCTACTGAGTATTTTTTGGAAAAGAGTCAGTGTATAATGAGTCCTTGGCAGGAAATATGAAATAATCCCCTTCCTAATTTTATTGGCGGGATTGAATTAAGAGAAATAAATGAAATAGTGTATTACTTTCAGTGTACTTCTTTGTATTTCACCAAAAGATAAAGTGAAATAATTTGAAGTAATTTTGCCAGGTCAAGAGACAAATACCTGCCTGCTTATTTACCAAGAAGAATGGTTTTGTTTCTCTAGTGTGAATCACATAGGATTCTAGAAAACTATTTTCCCCCTAAGTACAAAAGATGAAAAGGAAACTTCTTTCTCTATTATGGCTTTTTTTCCTCGCACCTTCATTCTGATGTACTTCATTCTATTAATACAACTTTTCCAATGTTTCAAACCTTTCTGAAGACTAAGTTTTTCTAGGATATTGTCCAAAATTTAACTAATGTTATTTAGGTAAGCCCTTCTCTGTTTAATTGTAGAAAAATCATAAATAAAATTTAAAAACTATTTATTTAGTGGTTTTAAAACTTGCTTTAATAGGGATAGTATTTCGGTAAGATTGCATTTTTAATATATAATACAGGTTAATATCATAGCTGGTTGAAAATTTGTAGCTTTTAGCAAGGTACTACAGTTGAATTATGCTTTGAATTTTTTTTACAAGCTCTTTATAACTGATGGAAGTAAAAGGACATATCTATAAAATAATGGGACCAATTTACACTATTCCCTTCTTCCAATTCTTTGGTTCTTCATACATTCTATTTTTCACATACTTTGAGCTATAACATTCAAGATGTCTAATGCTTCCCCTGGGCATCCTCATTTCACTACTTTAAATCAAATGCATCACCAAATACATTTGGCAAGCTAGGCTGGAGTAATGGGTCTCTAGCACACTACACACACACACAAGGCATTCCTCCTGAGGGGCATTAATGCACCGTTGTTGACCAATCAAATGTAACTTGTCTTAAAGTCTAGAAACACAGGCTTTGCATTTTCTAGTAATAAATGTCTAACACTGAGAAATAAAATATGTTTACTTCTCAAGGGAATGTTTAGAGCTGTAGAATGAGCTCCTAGAATTTTAACCATTTTCTCTTCCTCCACTTGGTGGTTTGTGAAGACTATAAAGACAGGACTGTTCCTGTTAACTTCATTTCTACGAGGGAGCAACACGATTTCTGATTCAGTTCTTAGTTTAAAAAAATATGAAGCCACAGTTACATGGAAAATATGAGTGACCGACAGCATCATATAATAGTTACCCCATTTGATTTTCACTTCATTTACTGATCAGAATTCTGAGCAGACTATGCATGATTGTTCACTGAGGGATAAGCCTGGATAAAATGTGGGGATTTCGGAAAATAAGCTGCTTTCTAAGATTAAGAAAAAGCCAGCCAGCTCTGTAAACTGCCTAAATATAGAAATGGGCTATTTTGTAGGGACTGCTCTGAAAAAACTATGAAAAGCTATATTCTAATTCAGTTGTATTTTTTGTTCTGACTAGAAAAGAACTATAAATTTTTTATAAAATAAATTCATATAGCAATTGGGAAAAAAAAAAAAAGTCATTCACCCAGAATTAAACAGTTACATTTAATGTATGTATAGTCTTAAAGGTTTTCTATGCCTAACATGTTTTCTTTAATTTTTAATTAAAAACGAATTTTATTGTCAGTGGACACAGGGGCTTGCCAGAGAGAGAAAGCACCTTCCAACGGGAAGCGGTCACACTCCAGTTTTTCTCCCTCCACCCCTCCATCCTCTCAGTATTTAGGGCATGCACACACATGCACCCAGCATGTTTTTCAAGCCACCAGGACAGGATTCAAATGTGTCTGGTGTGCTCAGAGAGGCTCTGGGACATGAACCCAGGGCCTTTTCTATGTGGGTCCACTTGTGTTACCACTGCACACTCCCTGCCCCTTAACTTAGGATTGATATTGTACCAAAACCATGTTAACTGCCGAGATAAACCAAAGATGGACAAGACCCTAAGTTATTGAACCTTTTATTGGAGAATGTTTCTGCATTAAGCCATTTATAGCCAGATTGTAAACAACTCTTGATTATAAAAACTCTGCATGCCTTTTTTTCCTTTTAAAGGTAACTTTTATATGCAGCAGAGTTGTCCACGGAACAGGTTCACCACAGTGTACTAAATCTGTGGGACATTTGCACTATTTCCCAATGTGCTGTTATTTCCTAATCTATGCTGTTATAATGGGTCACGATAGTAACATAAATAATATGTAAAAGTTAAATGATTTTAGAAACCAAATTCCTAACCATTTTCACATTTCAGCACTGGTGTCCTCTGTAAGAATCCCGTTTTGACAGTAAAACCTGCCATGTCAGACCCCCTCACTTGTCTAGGCAGTGGCTCAGGAGTATAGATCGCTGCAACTGAAGACACATTTTCATTTTTAGTTGGTCTCTCCCCCCCAATTCCCACCCCCAAAGCAGAGCCTTCTGCATATGTCTGCTGACATTCTTTTTTATAATGACAGTTTGGACACTTATATACATTCCTTATTTTCAAATAGTCTTATTTCTTGAAAATCTGCTCCCTTCTATGACTGGGATTGCAACATTTTTAAGTAGGAGAGTAAATAAGATTGCAAATATTTGCATATGAGTTTCCACAAAATCCTAACTTGTGACCACATAGTCTTAATCATTGCAAAAGGATTATGAGTAACGTCGATCATTCCTTATCACGTCACTCATAAGGAGACTTTTAAAAGCTTGTGGAAAATGAAATTAGAAGATGAAAGTTAAAAAAAAAACCTTATTTCTCAACATAAGCTATATTAAATTAAACACAATTTTGTAAGAGGTGATATCAACCATTTAGTTCATCCTCGAAGAACTAAGGGTCCTAGGAATATAACTATGTCAATAGAGTCTTTTATCTT